TTTCTTTACTTCCTGTCCTGCTGACAACGTTTTACCAGATAGGAAGAAAGGGGAACTCTTCAACTGCAACAGAGACAAAATGAAAGAGGATTTTCTTCAGTAGAGTAGGGGAAGAATAGAACACCTGTCAGATTTGTATTTCTGTCTCTGTAACTATTGCAGATTTCCCTTACTTCATGTTTGGTGAAAACCTTGTCAGCTGAACAGGAAGTGAGGGTGAATCTCTTGAACAGAGCTCCAGGTAGACATAAAAAACATCTGCACTATTTAAATGTAGAAACAAATGTTTGGCTTGACTTACACTTTAAATGTATCCATATCGTAATCAATGAAATCAATATGCTGTGATAAATCATTAATTCAAACAAAAGTAGAAATGCTACTTTCAACAAATTTTCTTCACCGGTGAACAACCCTTACTTTATGCTGTCTTAATATGAAGTAATTTGTCCATCAAAGCAGACAGAGATAACAACAGAACAGTGATTAAACATTTCTTAAAAGTAATCACAGTGATGCTCTGTTTAAATGTCATTTGGAGCCCTCAGTATGAAGAAACCAAGAAAAATGATTCCTTCCTTTAAAATAATCTTGTTGTGTTCATTTCAATTCTCAGGCTCCGCAGGAGTCTGAATGTGCAGTGCTGTTTCTTAAATATTAATGAAAAGTGGCCAAAGGGTCTTAAGTCTGAAACTTAAATCTAATTTCTAAAGCGAGATTGAATGCTTTAAGGCTCAATATAAAGTCCATATCAGACAGGGACAAGATGCAGTTTTATGTGACCATGTTATAAAATGCTAAATGTGCACACTCATGGAATTGGACGCAGTATAACAAAAAATAATAGATGAGTACAAAACAATTTAACGCTGTACACAAGTTACAGTCATACTTTTTAAAACATTTACTTTGTGTCCTAACTTTCTTAACCAGTTGACATCTGGGGTGTTAAACCCCCTTCCCATCCAGGCCATTTTTCAGTATTCAGCGCTGCGGTACTTTGACTGACATTTATTCCGTCATGCAGCGCTGTACTGAAATGAATTGTATACCCTTTTTTGGGGACACATAGAGCTTTATTTTGGTGGTATTTATTCACCACTGGGGTTTTTATTTTTTAATATATTAGGGAAAAACTACAGATTTAAAAAAAAAAAACAGTTCCCCCTATATTAAATTCTAAAACATTTATTATTACCAAATTTTTTGGTAAAATATAAAAGACGGGGTCACGTCGGGTAAAGAGACACCAAACATGTCAAGCCTTAAAATTGCGCATGTGCGCGAAACCTCAAAAAAACGACATTACCCAAAATTGGCCATAGGCGACGCATTAAAAGCTTTTACCGCTCATCAGTTTAGTGTTATCAGTGATTTATGGCCCTAAAATGATTGCTCTCACTGCGACGTTCGCGGTTTTTCCGCGGATGCGAGTCTGCCGTCCGTCCGTTTTTTCTTAACGGGCAGACGGCAAGAGGTTAATTAGTTGATTTGATTCAAAACACATTCACTGGAACTCATTAAGAGTGATGTATACACTCATTATAGACATCTGTCTCCCATTGGTGCAATTTGAGACAGATTCATGTAACTATCTGTAAGTTGTATATGAATCTGTCACAGAATTGCCTGAGGCTGAATTTTGTCTGTGACACAATACTTACATTTGTGACACAACATAGAAGAGGTCTTATTTATTGCCACTATTCTTATCATCGATATAGCATCATTTCTTAATGAATTTGCCACCACCATAGCACCAGAATGTAAAAGTTACCTGTATTTGTTGCATGCGTAGGAAAGAGCAAGAAAAGTATCACAGGGATTCAGGTTGGTGCAGGACTTTCTTATTTGGTCATAACAGCAGAAGATTGTCACAATTTCTGCATTGAATCAGAATACAAAACACAGTATTTTCACCTCGCAGCTGAACACTGGTTGAAAATGGTTGACATTTTCCAAGAGGATGCATTTTAATACCTATATCCATAGAGAGTTTGAACCATGTTGTCAACTTGCTGTGAATGTTTCCTTAACCAAGTTTTATGTATAAGTATTGGGATGCCTGCCTTTACACGCACATGAACTTGAATGGCATTCCTGTCTTAGTTCGTAGGGTTCAATATTGAGTTAGCCCACCCTTTGCAGCTATAAAAGCTTCAACTCTTCTGGGAAGACTGTCCACAAGGTTTAGGAGTGTGTCTATGGGAATGTTTGACCATTCTTTCAGAAGAGCATTTGTGAGGTCATAGTTACTTAGGGGTCTATTCACAAAGCTGCCGAAGGATCTGGCCGTAGCTTCGGCCGATCCTTCGGCTAGCTTCGGCACCAGGACCCCTTCGGTGCAGGAGAACCGAGGGGGTGCTGTACAGCTATTCACAATAGCCCGTACAGCTCCCGATCACGGCCGAGCGGCTCAGTCGAGCGCTGAGCCGTGTACTGATCAAGTACTGATGTTGGACGAAAAGGCCTGGCTCGCAGTTTCCGCTCTAATTCATCCCAAAGGTGTTCTATCGGGTTGAGATCAGGACTCTGTGCAGGCCAGTCAAGTTCTTCCACCCCAAACTTGCTCATCCATGTCTTTATGGACCTTGCTTTGTGCACTGGTGCACAGTCATGTAGGAACAGGAAGGGGCCATCCCCAAACATGTCTTGGCATGCTGATGCATTAAGTGTTCCCTTCACTCGAACTAAGGGGCCAAGCTCAACTCCTGAAAAACAACCCCACACCATAATCCCCCCTCCACCAAACTTTACACTTGGCACAATGCAGTCAGGCAAGTACCGTTCTCCTGGCAACCGCCAACCCCAGACACGTCCATCAGATTGCCAGACAGAGAAGCGTGATTCGTCACTCCAGAGAACACGTCTCCACTCTAGAGTCCAGCGGCGTGCTTTATACCACTGCATCTGAAGCTTTATTGCACTTGGTGATATAAGGCTTGGATGCAGCTGCTCAGCCATGGAAACCCATTCCATGAAGCTCCCTATGCACTGTTGTTGTGCCAATCTGAAGGCCACACGAAGTTTGGAGGTCTGTAGCTATTGACACTGCAAACAGTTGGCCACTTCTGCGCATCAGCATCCGCTGACCCCCGCTCTGTCATTTTACGTGGCTGTTGTTGTTTCTGCTGTTCCCAGTTGCTTCCACTTTGCTATAATGCCACTAACAGTTGACCGTGGAATATTTAGTAGCAAGGAAATTTCACGGTTGGACTTATTGCACAGGTGGCAACCTATCACGGTACCACGCTTGAATTCACTGAGCTCCTGAGAGAGACCCATTCTTTCACAAATGTTTGTAGAAGCAGTTTGTATGCCTAGGTGCTTGATGTTATACACCTGTGGCCATGGAGGTGAATCCAATGATTTGTCAATATAGTGTGTGTGTGTGTGTGTATATATATATATGTGTGTGTGTGTGTGTGTGAGAGAGAATGGGAACATTTATTCTGTTGAGCTCTTTCACTACATATTTTATTCTACCCTAAGAGTAAAAACAAGTATACACTATTATTCAGGCCAGTTCCAAACCCTTTTAAAAGGCGGTAGTAGGTAACATCAATCAAAAGTCGCTTTCCACTGAAAGGTTGAATAGGTAAGTGAGATAATTGTGAAATGGGCTCCGCATGAGAGGCATTCCAGCAGGTGTAACATTGATTTACCTAGCATTTAAACTCATTGCCTTGTTTCCATTTTAAAGCTACATTGTTAATAGAGCAACAAAATGAAAGCATATTGACAGCAGACACAGTGGTTTTGCTTGTCCAAATGGATGCTTATTTGTAACATTTAAAGGACTTGTAAACCTAAAATGCACAGTGTCTTATGTAAAAGAATCAGCAAGACAATTTACACTCGTATTGTCTTCATATTTTGCACATATTCAGTAGATTTCAATAATATTACACTAACAGTGACCCTTGTTAAAGGGTGCCCTTTCTAAGACAACATGGTTGTTGTCTAAATCACAGACTTTATTATATTTCTGATTTGCTTCTCTAAGTGACTGGGATAGTAGTGAAGCCAAAAATACAATTACACAATACAGCAATGGCAAGCTCATTGTTTCTGTCAGTACTGGTTTCCTTTAATTATTAGTAAAATAATAAACAGTCCACTGTTACTGACCAATATTTCAGTTGGCCACTTCTCCATGGTTAAACTCTGCTTTGGTTGAAAGACTTGTAAATATCATTCAAAGTCTTCATTAAGTGTTGCAGAGGATTTTGGTGTTTGTTGTGTATTACTGTTTTACCTACCAACAGAATTGCATTTTTGTCCATTCATCCCTTGAGATTTGTACACCCTTGCCACACAGTACAGCACTGTATGGATGGCAGACAATCTAATTTATCCCTGCTGCAGGTAAGTAACATGATTCCACCACACCCGTAGCCTGTGTATAAACAGGAAAAGCAGAATAAGCAGATTGATAAGCTCATCTCTCTATCACTCTGCTCTCTTCCTATCAACATGCTTCTTGCACTGCAGAACAACTCTTTGGCTCCTTGTGTTTCTTCCGCCTACTCCATTCAGAGCTCAGCTGTACAGGGTTTCACAAGAGGCTGATTCCAGGTCAAATTAAGGTGCTCACACGTCTTGCAATAAAAAAAAAATGTAAAGATGTATTCATGAATATAGAGCTGCAATATTTTGTGTCTTGTATATTTGCCTGGAGTTCAGCTTTAGTTACTGACACAGTTATTTGATGGTGACTGGACTCATCGGTGCCTTAGCTATATTGTGTATAAATGTAATTAGCCACTGAACCTGTGTAGGCTAGACATGTCAGGGAATGAGTTGATGGTCATGGTCATGGTCATGGCTGTAATTTGCTGCAAACACTTTTTTAAGCCATCAATTTTCCAATGGATTTGTACAAAGTGCTTAGCAGCATTATGGTAGTTGTTCAGTGCCAATATAATTTTGACAGCTGTTGACTTTCTCTGGTATTATAGGCAGTAATAACCAATTTCCTTTTTCTTTTTTTTCTTTAGTAAACCCAACAAGAGCAGGTGGGAGAGATATTCCAGGCTCAGCGGAGGTCATCAGGGAATCTAGCAGCACAACCGGCATGGTCGTTGGCATTGTAGCTGCTGCCGCCCTGTGCATCCTCATCCTCCTTTATGCCATGTATAAGTACCGAAACAGGGATGAAGGCTCATATCATGTTGATGAGAGTCGAAACTACATCAGTAACTCAGCACAGTCTAATGGGGCTGTGATTAAAGAAAAACAACCCAGCAGCGCTAAAAGTTCAAACAAAAATAAGAAAAACAAGGACAAAGAATATTACGTCTGATCCCAGCCGCTTAACGAACACGTGTATAGAAATAGTCTTCATTTTATCTGAGACATAAAATTAACAAACTTATTTACTTTACTTTTTATGAAGCACATTGAAAATATAAAAAAAAAATCAAGAAGACAGGGAATGCGATCAGAAAAGAAAGACTGTTTTTAAAAAAAATGGAAAACAAATGGATAAAAATATATATAAAACAAGCACATCATGGTTTTGTTTCGCAGAAACAGGAGCCACTTAAGATATCCAATTATCTACAATGTTTTCATATATTCTGCCCGTCCATTTATGCGATTGGAATGTTTTGGAAAGACGATGATAAGACAAAGCATTCTTCAAGCACAGAAAGAAAATCCAACTTTGAGGCACAATTCAAATCTAAAAAAAAAATTCCAATGTTCAGGCACAATTAAAATAAACAAAATCAAAGAAGCTACCTATGATTCTGGATGCAGCCAAAGTGCTTGTGCCCAATTCAACATGGAAGTTTGTACGCCAGCAAAAACTTGTCTGAACTTGCAAACAGCGGCTTGAAGCAATGGGGCAGCTGTGCAATCATGGAGACATGTCTGGCTTTTCTGAAAACAAAAGCTGGCTTTTCTGAAAACTTTAAAAAAAACTTTCACAAAGACCCCTTTCTGGTTGTGAAGAGTATGTTACGGAGGCCTTATTTTCACAAATACAGAACATAAGGCCCTTTTTCAAAATTAAAACAAGAGGGATAGATGCAATCATTGAAAATGTTCATGCACGCTTAATATGTTACTACATATGTTTATATAAAACACATCTATATGTGCTTTCTGGACTGTGATAAGTGATGTTTTATAGCCTGTTGTATAGCAATGCAAAATATATCTGCTCTTCAGCCATTTTTGGTAAACTCAATGTTCTAAGTGTTCCTAGGTATAGACAGTTTTCCAATGTCTGACCCAACAGACATATTTCAGTTTCTTGCTGCCATTACCCAATTTTTATCTTTTATTTTTAAATTCTTGTGAGTATGCCGCTGGGGGATGTGTATGAATGTAAAAAAAATGTTAATATTATACAGCACAATAGCCAACATTCCACTGCAGCCAAGTTCCAGTATGGCGAGCCACAAGGTGTGAAAGTATATAACATTGTCCAAACCATTAAAAAAAATCCAAGTTACTGCAACAGGCATTCTGTAATTCTTTATGCTAGATAATTAACTGTAAGGACCTTTTAGTTTTTAACTATGACATGACATGCCTTTTATGTGTTTAAACAAATATTATTTTAAAAAATGGACCTTGATCTTATGTAAAAAAAAGTATTAAATACAATTGACACACATGAACAGGAAGTGGTGTTCATGTTGATAAAGGCTTGGGAATGATTGCAATTTATTCACTGCATATAAATGTATTCATGTGTCCTTTCTCCAAGCATATATTCGTTCACGAAAAAAACAAAGTTTCTATTTTTTGGCATAATTTTAAAATATAAGTAGTAATCTCTTAGGTGAAACAGTGTTCTTTCTGATAGGAACACAAAGAAGTTATAAGCAAAGTAGAATAATATCCTAAAATTGATTGTTTGGATATATATAAAACATTTATTTTTCTGTATGTCACAATTTTTTAAATTATAAAGCAAGTTAATATATAGTAATAGATTACAAAAATTCTCAAGCTTTGCTGAATTAAGCTTGTTGCAAAAGACTTGAGAGTAACATATCACTCGAGGAAATGCAAAGAGAATATATTAACCTAAAAGTGGGCACTTCAAGAGAACTCTCCTCACTTGAAGGTCTCCTGAGAAGTGTGTGGATGTTCCCACATTACAGACAGGAAGGAGGAATTTAAAATTAATTTAAACAGCAGGGGTAAGCAAGCAAAAGACCCTGTTTTATTCACCAGTTAACTTATAAATAATGCTTAAAATCTAGACATGTTCTCTCAAGCTTTCAGAAAAGAAAAATAACAATAGTTGATAAAAAATACTTTTAGGGCTTCCAAATACCTTTAGTCCTTTATAAGTGATTTTTGCAAGGGCGTTTTGATCACTTCCCAAAGCCAGTAGCTTTTAGAAGAACAGGGTGCATCAAATAACTTTTCCTGCTACAAATCTCCATCCGGACACGAGAGAAAGTCAACTGTACTCAGGGATAAAAAGTTATTTAATGCTGTATTGCACAGTACGTGTGAAAGGTCCAGTCATGTTTATAGTTCTCTGAAAAAAAGATGTAGAGTAAACAATTGTGGTCCAAACAAGACTTGCCAAATTGATAAGTTGAACATGCAATGATAGCAAAGTACTACAAGTCTTTTATAAAGTATTTTATTTCATGTAATCAATGTGTCAATTGTTAATGTTTCTTTGTATATATCTATTTTGCCAACACTTCATATCTCCAATAATCATTTATACCTTAATTCTGAGCTACAATTTCAGTTAAATAAGGATTTTACTGATAATTTTGCATTTATTTGTATTACCATTGCTTCAGGTTTTATTTCGGATTATTAATTCACAGTTTGTATGCAATTTTGCTTTGGCATCTTAATGTCATCACGTTAATCCTTTCAGAGAATGAGGATCCAACTGACGCATTTTGATGCATTGCGTTTCAGGTCCCTTTCATTGAAAGGGTAGGTACATTTTATATTCTGCAACAGGTTTTTCCTTTTCTTTTTTTTCCTGTATATTTGCTGTACTTAGTCTGGATGAGGTGGCTTATTTCCAATTCTGTAATGTGTTGCCTTTACAACAAAATCAAAAGTGTGAGATGAGTCATCCCCAAAATCAAACCGAGAGGCCCAAAGCCAGTTTATTGTGTTTGTGTGATAGATATTGAAAATGAATTTATTTTGTTGCAAGGCCAATTTATCCATTACTGGAAATGCTAAGCAAGTGGAATTTATTGTTTTGTTAATAAAATGTTTCTTAATACATTATTGTGTTTTTATTTTTGCAAGGAACTTAACATGAAAAAATGTGCAAAATGAATACCCCCCAAAAAATGGTGTCTGTAAGTAGTTTTAAGGGGCTAGAAAGCCTGAGACAACATAAGCTCAAACATTAAGACACTAGCATTAAGACACTAGCTTACATTTCAAGACACATTGTGGTTGATTTACTGAGGCTCTGTTCACACATTAGCTGTATTCCGTGCGTATTCTTACACTGAACATTAAAAAACAATACATTCAAATGTATGTTGTTCACACTTGCGCGACGTCCGAAAAATGTGTGTTGAGCAAAAAAAGTCCAATGGCGGATTCTGCACATTCTGGGCTAAAGTAATAGCTACAAATGTGCAGGATCCACGCGTATGTTAAAATGTCCACGTTTTCGGACAACACAAACGGCGTGTGTGAATGGAGCCTAAAGGGAAACAAGATAGTTCACTCAGTTTACTGAATAAGGTGAACCACTCATGTGCAAGCCAAAAATCTGATTTTTGTTAATTTCCCTGGCACATGATTGTGTTCGTTCAAAGAACTGTTCAAGGTAAACACAGCTTCATCCTATTTAGAAAACTAAGTGAAGATATACACTTTTTATGTGAACAGACCCTTCTCCATTAGTAAATGAACCTGATTCCTGACATTTTTTTCTGTAATGTTACAGATGTTAGTTGTCAGCCAATACATGTGAGCAGTGTGGCCACATACAATTTAGAAGGATTTAGAAACTAGGCTCAACCCCCATCCACACAACAACACTTAATGGGCGGGAAGTGGCCATCATTCCTCACAGCACTCCAAGACACATTGGGGCTGATTTACTAAAGGAAATAGGCTGTTCCTTGCAAAGGAATTTTCCCTTAGCTTGGTGAATGTGGTGAAAATTCATTTAGCAAAGAATATCCAATGACATGCAAGGAAAATTAATAAAATAGTATTTTTGCTTTGCACAAAATCATGGATGATGGAAGTCTGCAGATATTTACCTCATTTATTACGCTGAGAGAAAATTTGCAAAGTCTAATTTCCTTTAGCAAATCAACCACATTAAGTGAAATGTATTACATTAATATATGTAGCAAGATTCAAATAGATCCACATACAATCTTTATTAAGTAGATGAGAATGAACAGGTACAAAGAAGACTAGACCTCTTTTTATCTGCTTACCTCCACTTAATAAAGATATATGCTCTGTTCCATCTTGAAGTCTGCCATTGGGTGTTACCACACTTCCTGATGTGCTCTCTGTGCTTTAAAATACAATGCAACAGAGAACACTAAAAGAAGAACTCCAGTAAATGTAAGAATAATTCACTGCAGTGGGGCTACCCCTGCACTGTAAGGGTTAACTGCTTGTTTTGGTTTGGGGCTAAAAATCAGACCGGTCTAGCAGCCAAGCAGGACCGAGGATCAGGTGAGTATATTTTCTTTATTTCAGTCCCTACACCAAAATGAGCAGTTAACCCTTACAGTGCAGGTGTAGCCCCACTGGAAGGGTTAATTTTTTCCTTTCCTGGAGTTCTTTTTTAGCTGTCTAGCATCTACAAAATACGTAATACTTACTTTTTATAAATGAATGGTCAAAGAATCGCCCAATTTATTAAGCTTTTTCACAGTCCTACTCTTGATGTTTGTTTTTTTGATAGTAAGTATGGACTTCAATGATTCCTCTATTTTGTCAGAAGGTAGCAAAGAAGCTTTATAGTAATAAATCAAGTCTATTTCATGCGGCAAGGTGGGACTTTTAAATTAGGTAGCACCCTCTAGATGTGGCATGGAACACGTTTCATGGCCCTTTAGCTGCTCTCTTGTAATAAGCAAGATACTTACTGAACAAGAACAGCCTCCACCTTTAAGGAATGGGTTCTTGTTTTCCTGGGTCATCGCTAAAGAAGTTCCTGTCTTTCATTTACCTCTGTTGGCCTCACCACTGTGTCCATGCACCTTATGTAGGCTTGCACTAGTACATTACTATTAAAACCCCCACCCTGAACTTCCCCATGTTCTCTACCAGCTCCTTGTATTTTTGGGCTAATGATATTCTTTAGAAATTCTTGAACACGTACAGGGCTATTCACTAAAGGGTGAAGAGTTTGGAGAAGGCAGGAGAAGTGAACAATCTAGGACAGCAAAGCTGATTTGGAAATATTCTCCAATTCAGCTCACTTTCCAGTTCAGCTATGTTGTCCTAGATTGTTCCCTTCTCCTGCCTTCTCCAAACTCTTCACCCTTTAGTGATTAGTCCTGTAAGAGTGGAATGGAGTAGTACTAGAACTAGAAGTACATAGTAGAAACTTTTATAACATCAGCTTTAATTTACCCCTTTCATTTAAAACTATTGACTGTAGTTATAATTTAAGTTAAGCATTTCTCTCAAGCCCGGGCGGACATTGGTTATATTATTATAACTAGTATTGCATGCAAGGGAATGAATGGAATATTACATTAGGTTAACATAATTAACAGATAATTCAGAAAACACTCATGAGCCAACAGGGCAAGATTGTGAACTTTAGAAAATATGCTTCATAGTTCTAAATTGAATTAACCTGTTATGAATGGATGCATCACTGCCAGATCCTAAAATTCTGCCAGATTAGGGATTAGCAGCAATGTAATGTACAGCAACATTCTGAAGAACCGGCATATAGGTATTAGTTTAAGGATTGCAAGGACCCAAAGACTTAACACTGCTACTGAAACCACTTGTATGTACCCTTGTGGTAATAGATATCCATTTCATATATCCTCCAGTTGAAGAAGATTTCCTTTGCAACACAAGCATCACATCTTAAGAAAGCCATGAAAGGTCTCCAACGCTCATATGCAATTACAGTACGTCAAGTCAGTATCCTCCCTGGGTTCATTAAGAGCATAACCCATTGTGCAATAGGTCATGACACAAATCCTTTAAATCTGTGCTTATAACCAAATAAAGGGAGAATGTTATGTGCACTAGAAAATCAAAGCACACATTCAGGGTTTCAAAAGCTACAGTAGAATTTTAACCTGCACTCCATAATTATGAACAGCATATTAATGGCAAGAATCACATATTTTCACAGTGTGCACCACTATTTCCTATACAGAATGGGGTTAAGTTACATAAGCAATGAAGACTGTTCACTCTGCCAAGTGTATTTTCACATTGCAGAATGAATGCTCATTTAGCTTACTGCATAAAATGGATCTGTGTTTACTTCAATCATCCATTTGTACAAGCACATGATTGGGCATGCAAATGAACACAAAGATTTACCTTATTTACTAAACTGTGTAGACATACACTTTGCAAAGTGAACTCAAAAAAATAGCTCTGCTCTTTTAGAAAATCAACCCCATTGTGTAATTTTTTGTTATAATGTACTTATTTTATAGCCACAGCAACACAACACAAACTTATTGGCTTATTTTATGTATTTTTAAAAGCGACTTTGCTAAACCTCTCTCCTTCCCCTTGTTATTAAAGGAAACCTATAGATCTGTTTTACAGGCCTGCTATGCAATATTTCACATTTACCTGGTTAAAGGGAAAAAACAATATTTTTCACAACTTGAAGAGCAATTCTTTACATCACATTAAAGCAAGCAGTGGGATAAGACAACAGGTGTAGTTTCATAAATCTGTGTAATCCCCTGCATCCAGATTTCAGAGAACACCTCACGAGGTCAGTGGAACAGTTGTAGAAATGCACTTCCTGGAGCCTGTGCTGGGTTATTTCTTCTTTATCTCGGCCTCCTGCAGTAGCATTGTTTTATCAGCAAGACACCTATATTATGTGTTAAATCATCACAAACAGGTACATTCCAGGATCACCGGATTACAGACAAAATGGAGTGGGATTGACTAGTGCAGTATAGGAGGTCTAGATCAAAAGCTATGTTCCCTGTGTTCCTCTCAGCTGCCAAGTGTCTAATAATTTAAAGACCGTCCATGAGAAAATGCAGATTAAATAAAGTTTGTCCAGTACATTAACAAAAAATTGTAACAGAGTATTGTATTGTACATGCTGCCAAATATTAGACCATGCTATCATTGTGGGCATTTGTTGTTTACAACATTATGGTTGTT